ATTCAAGTTTAATAATGAACTGAACGTTGTCGACTAAAATTCATCGATGAACATTAAAGCCATCAAAACTATAATAAAAACGGTGCTAAATGCACTTTAATGAGTAAATATTAACTGAACAAACAACGTAGCAATAAAAAAGCCTCATTCAGGTGTTGATAATGTGAACGTTGAATATTTGACACGTTCACATTCATGAAAACAGTCCATAAATGTCGCTTCTTATCCTGATTATATCACTGATACAAATATCTAAACGGCAACATTAATGAATAAAGTACGCCATCAGAACAATGAAAAGCAACAACACCATGGCTGATGATGATGACAACGATGATAATGAAAAGTAGTACGCTTGAAGAAAATTTTGCAAATATCGAAAAATGAAAGTAATCCAATCTTTGAAGAGAGACAAACAAACTGATTAAGTTATGTGATAATATCGAATGGTTGCGTTTCAGTTTCAGTTCGTTCCAACGGATTATATCTCTCTTTCAGTGAAAATTACATAAATTTGGTGTGTGTATGTAAGGTGCGGTAAAAAGTAAAAAGAACTGAAAGCGACATCATTCACTGAAGAATGTGAACAGAAGCGAATAAATGAAATGAAATAAATTTATTGAATTAAGTGAATAATGAGATGGATGGATGGCTAGAGAATGATAAATGAGAGAATAAATGAATGAATCAATGACATTGTACGCATAATATTTTGTACACATTTATTTATGTACATCGATAAATGAATAAATGAATTCAATTATTGTTATGAATAAAGCAATGGACGGATGGAGGATGGATGGATGGATGGATTGAGATGAAGGTCATTTGAAATGAAACAGAACTATTTCGGAATCAGTGAAATGGATGGGTAAGTTGATAAGTAGTCATAAAACGATGATGACGAGCAGAAGACCCGAACCAGCATCAGACCTACCGGTGGATTGACATCTTACCTTCATTCTGAACTGAATTTAGCAATCTGGCATTGATGATGAAAACGAGATAGTGATTATATGATTGGTTTGCTGGAGACGAAAGGATGAAAGGAATAACCATTGTCAAGGTTATATTATGTGTAATGAATGAAGAATACAGGATGAATAAGAATAAGAATATGGTTACAAATACGAACGAATGAAAAAAGAAATTAACTCACTCATCAACCGCACCATCACAACACAATAACGATACAACTTTAGATTACGAATAAAGTTGAGAAGAAGGAAGAAGATTGGTAGATAGGTGAAGAAATGAAAATGAAGGCATCGAAATCAAATCAAATCGAATCATCTTCTCACACATAAAATCATCCAATCCTAAAAAGTGAGGATTAATGCAATCAATTCAGTTATATATTCTGCATTCATTATTCAAAATAGTCAGTAAAGGATGGACAACAACTTTTTGAATATGAACGATGTTGAATTTGAACATAACTGCAAATTTGACGAACAAATTAATGAAACATGCGCCAAAATTGAAAAACATTCAAGATAATTTCTCACATTTCTATTGAATTCATTTCAATTGTTGTTCTGTTAATCTCATTATTAAAATTGTTTAATCAAGCCACCGAGTAGCCATTTCGTTTCAGCAGTCATCTTCTGTCTGATTTTATCCGAAACGATCAACAATTCTTGTTTGATAAGCGTTATATTGCCTTATTGAATCAAATTTCGAGTGAATTTATCGCTGTACTCGGCTCACCTCAGCTCTGCTCTGTACATGCATGTGCACATCCATTTTCTTTTTCTCCTTCTTGCAGTCTACCGGTATTTATGTTTGTAAATATGTATATCCTGTACGCCACCGCCGCACAAAATTCCAGTTCGTGTCGAAAATGTTAGACGATGATGGAATGAAACGATCGTCTAATGACGATGATGACAAAGATCAAACATAGCACACGCACATTCATCCATATATATCACCACATAATCCTGCTCTCATCCAAATGCACAACTAATCAACTGACAAATCATCCTCTAAAAACCCCTGCAGGCTATCCTGTCTGCCTGCAACAACCAGAAGAAGAAGACTGGCTGGAAGGCATGCAGGAAATGATAATCTGTCGTCGTCCAAGACACAAAATGACGGAGATCTATCTCCTCAAATCTCCCACAACAATATATCCCATCCCGTATTCACTCATTCATCCATCCACCATCTTCTAACAACCATCCGAGTGTATTTTCAGTGCAACTACCACGAATGCTCTGCTTCTTCTCTTCCTTCATGTTGCATTATTGCAGAGCATCAGGAAGAAGAAAGTTGATAAACAAAGCAAACTGATATGATATTCAAATGAATCATTTGATGGTGTTTGATCAAGATAACGCTAACTGATGCACTGTCTATTTATGATATTCAAATAATTCGCCGCAGGCTGATAAATAAAAATTAACGGATCTAAACCAATAGGCACGAACAGACAATGTTATCTGCTTGCACTATATGTAACGCGTAAATTAACGAGCGATACAAAAGCATCGATGAAAAGTGATCGTTCGTCAACAATAATAACGATAAGAAAAAAACGAATTTCAATGCAATGAACACATTCCACTTTAATTTGATGAACAATCAAGATCGTCACGTTTACGTTGCTTGTCTGACGTGATCATAAGGAGGATGTTGTAATTGTTGTTTTAACAACTCTAATTTTGAATTGATAAATTTCGACAACGAGATAAATAGAGGATAGGACTGGATTTTGAAAAAGGATTGGGATTTGATAAGATACCGAAGAAAGAGATGTGGAGATGGAAGGAAGAAGGCTGGATTGATCACAACTGGAAGAGAACCGAAAACGAGATGGAACACGATTGGATATGACTGGCTGCAGCGACCAAGCAAGCCGGACGAGCAAACGTTCAAGATGGAGTGCTGAGGCAGATGGTCATTTGAAATTAGAAATCACGTCCGTGTACCCTACCCACTCGGTCGATCATCAACACTGCTCAATTCAAAGGCAACCAATTACTTATTCAATCATTCAGTCAGTAATTCGTTCCACACATATACTGCCACATTTCATAAACAACTTCCTCAAAACCGAAAAGGCAATGGTGATAAGCGCTTTCTGAATGTATCTGATAAACTTACACTGCATAATAATGATTCATAATATTATTCTTTTATTATCGTTACTAGCAACATTTTGCTTTCGTTCATTGTTTTTCTCATCATTTGTAAAAAAAATCAGCATTAGTAATACGATCATGAATAAGAATAACGATAAGATCGAATATGCTAATATCAGAAGAATGAGATGCCTAACTGGATGTTGGAAATGGATGGGACAGAATAAGTGCAATGAAACAAATGAGCACAAAGAAGGATGAAAGGAGGAGGGCATTTTCAAGGACAACGAACCAAGAAAAAAGAAGCAATGGACCGGACGAAGGATGCGGTATGGACGGACAGGTTAGCGACCGATGGGTTACAGTAAAAGAAGCAAGCAAGCAACTTCGTTTCCTATCCATTCATTCATTCATTCACCATCCAGCGACCAACCGATTGCAAAAGATTAACCGACTCGAAACGTACAGCCGAGGAGTGCATAACAGGGAGGGTGAGGATTGCTATGAAAGAGAGGAGAGAGGGACGGGTATGTATGGCCACTACTAACAGTAAACCAGCACCATCAAGCACACATGTATGCTTACAACAGCATTTCACGATAGAGCACACTGCCGCATCATCCATGATATTACTGATATGTATGTGATGTGCATAGTCGTTTACGTTTGAATTTATCCTTGAACGTCAAAACGTTGCATGGATGGATGGAGTAGGTTTGTATCTTCTCTTAACATGTTTATGACCTTGACGCACACCACCACATCACATATCTATCAATCTATCTATCAATCTTTCTTTCTACGTTCATTTAATATCATCATCATCAGTAAAAATCAACAATAATCAGCAATAGCAATGATATGCATTCCCCTTCTAAACCCTAAACCCCATTTGAAACTCAAAACTCCCCGTTTCAAATACGTCATTCATTTGGGTTGCTACTGAATTAAGTAGCAGCCAATCGACTCGTGCAATCGACTCAATGAGCAATCACGTTGTTAACTGATGAACAAAAATGATTATTTGCTGATAACTGATGAGCAACTGAATAGAGCCTGGGGGACATGAGAGGTATCGTTAGTGAATGAAGGCAACTGCAAAATGATCGTCTTCAGAATCGATGTGAAGACCAAAATGGTGAATATTAAATTGGTTTTGGCTGTAGCTTGTCGATGATTGATTTTCGATTATGAATTGCTGATATGAGTAATTTGAAGTAACTAACTATGATAACGATGATGAGAGTTACTGAAGAGAAGGATTAGGCGGATTAGGATTCGGAGGAGGGGAGTAGGGGATGAGTGCATGGATGGATGGATTAATGGATATATGGATGTGTGAATGGATTGATGAATATGCAAACGGATAGGGATAAAGAGGAACGAGGTTGAATACGTGAATGCTGTGAATCAAATATGAGAAGCCGTAATGGATCTGTGTACGGTTTAGTGTATATGGATCTGATTATATAGGCAGGATTTAAATCGCTGGATCACGATAATGATGACACAAAGTAACTGAACAACCAAACAATCAC